TAACTTTTTCTCACATTGATTGTAACCGGGTTTCACTTTTTCTTGAGAAGATTAGTGAAGACGGTTGTAAATCCTGTGCAACAGGTCATGGTTTTACTCCCTTGAGCAAGGAGGTTTCCATGTAAACTGCTTGTGTTGTGTTCTTCATATTGTTTAATCTTCTGCACTATTTTTGCTGTGTCAAGGGACCTGGTCCATTGACTGTAGTGGACGCACATATTTCAACACATATAAATAAATTGATTCGAAAAATAGTACTTCTTGAAGAAAAATAGGAGCTGGAGCAAATGACTAAGATGGTCATAATAATGAGGCAAGTGTTTTAGAAAGAGCACCACAACAAAAACATTTCTTAAATCTTAGAAAAGGTTTAGGTACATGAAAATGATGAAAAAAATAAACAGAGCTCGAGGGGTATGCCATATTAGATTTGATATTAAATAATCATCAACGATATCTTAAATATATTTTAGCACTCAAAATTATAAATAATAATGAGGATCTCGATTTTAAAATTTTCAAATGATTGATAAAAGAAATTTTACAATTCAAGTATATTTTATTTCACTTGAAAAAAATGATGTTTTGAATATAATGTCAGTACAATACATACAGTTTATTGTGCGACAGGTAAAATCATATTATATATTTATATAAAATACAATCATAGGTCCCCCTACATGGCGCCACCACAAGAAAGAATTGTCTTTTAAATTTAATTATTTCCAAAACTAGCCTTCATCTTGCTTAAAAAGATTGACTTTCATGAAAATTAAAGTTGTGAATTTAACGAAGAGTTGCAACTTTATCAAAAGTTGTAACTTCTATGAAAAATTGTTAGTTTAATAAAACGTTTTTATCAAAAGTTGTGACTTTAATGAAGAGTTGTGACTTTTATCAAAAGTTGTGACTTATATGAAAAGTTTCGACTTTAATGAAAATTTGCGACCTTATGAAAAGTTTACGACTTTTAGGAAAGGTTGTGAACTTTCCGACGGGTTGCAACTATTTCAAATAGTTGTAACCTTTCTGATGAGGCACATTAAACATTTGTTCACAATACCCTTTGTTGTCTATAAATACAAAAAATTTCTCCCACTTTAAAACAATAAAAATTCTGATCTTCTTCTTCTACTTCCACAAAATTAAATATTTTTGTACTTTGCTCCTTTTGAGTGAATTACTAACACCACTATTTTTTTACCAATAAGTTGGTGAATAAAATCGTTTCATCCTAAGAAGATGTAATTCTTTAAACCTCTTATACTGGAGGGGAATAATTTTCTTAAGGGGACATTGTGTATCGAGTGGACTCGATTTTTTCCATTATATTTCATGGTATTTATACATATCCCGGTATGTTTTTTTTGCACCCATTAATTTATACTCATGATATTAATTGTTGTTTTCGAGTACATGTTTTAAACTTTGTTTTTTATGTTTATGCAAAGTTATTTTCTCCAATTATATTGGATATATACACATATAGTATGTATATTTATTGTTCAAAAAAATATTTTACTTAGTTTCAAAAATTCATATTTTGTTATTCTATATTAAATTCTAAAAGTACTATATATAAGGTTACTTAATATCTTTTTTTACGCAAATGTGAAATTGCTCCCTTATAAATTGAAGAAATTAATTATGCAGGTTCAAAAATTATAATTGTTTTCATGTGCAAGCATAATTTCTTTTTTGAATATTTTAACAATTTTTTGAATTTTCGCCTTAGACATATATACAATTGTATAATCTATGCAACTTAAATGTTTCTTTTTATCACGAAACGCCGTTGTGTGTGTGTGTGTGTGTGTGTGTGTGTATATAAATTCATTCTTATTTTCTTCTTATTTTTCATTCAATGTTGATTAATGAACCAATTATTTATTCTATCGTGAATAATTCATTCATTAGAGTTTCTTGAGTTATGTGATAATGACAAATAATTAAATTCATGTTGGAATATTGCTAACATTTTTTAAGAACTTATTCTTCTTTATTTCTAGTGTATGAATATTAGTAAAAAAATTATTTGCAAGTTGCATTTATTCTTTATGACCGCGCGAAGCGCGAAAAAATTACCTAGTTGAAAGATATAAAGTACAACTTGTGTCTTGTGATATAAAGATATTTCGCAGAAGTCATGACATTATTATATGGAGGTGTGTTTCCAGTGGTGGATGCAATGATATTTCTTTCAATCTGACAATATATGAAAAACTATGAAATGATAAATGATTTTTATGTCTAGGTAGACAGATAAAGATGAAAATCATTAAATGATATAAAAGGTTTTAAAACGATTCCATTGAATAGCACCCCAATTGTTATGGGGTAGTTTGACATAAAAATCAGTTTGATTTCATTAAAATGGTTAGAAAGTACCATGTCATAATGCAATTGGTGCACTTATGTATTCTTTGATTATTACTTATTGTATAACAATTTATTGACGTGCATGCAAAATATAACATTACTCCTATCGATAGAGATATCAAATTTAATCAAATATAAGTTATAAAATTGTTTATTCAAACCAATCTTGTCAAGGTTTAGTGGTTATAAAATTGCAGAAAATCCTTTGATTTATATGAAGCTTGACCTCAATAGAGATATATGTTTTCATATGAAAATATTGTCATATTATAGAATTCTACAACACAGTTAATTTTATTATCATGAAAGTCTCTACCACTTGGCTATTGCTACAAAAAAGTTGAATGTGCAATTTATCTACACCGGTCACAAACTAAGTGACTGTCAAGGATGTATTGGTTGAACTCAACATATCCAAGGGACAAGAAAACAATATATGTTTAAGGATACAATTTCTTCATGAATATGATTTGGTCACAAAGATACAATCAATATCAACATTTGGAAAGCTAAGTATAAGATTGGGAGACATCCTTTGTAAGTATTAAGTGATGTTTTAATCGGAGAGAGTAAATAAGCGTTGCACTCTTTTTTCCTTGACTAAGGTTTCGTCCCACTAAGTTTTCCTGATAAGGTTCTTAACAAGGCAGCTCGTATTACTAGATATGTTTACTCTTTTTTCCTTCACTGAGACTTATTCCACATGATTCTTCCTAGTAATATTTTAGCGAGGCAAATTATCTTTAAACTAACTCCAAAGAGTAATAAATACATCATATTGTAGATTTTGATTACACATTTATTTAGATAAGCTTGAAATCAAGAAGTTAACTTACAAACAGCTCCGCAAGAAAGTTTCTATAAGCAACTTACAAGTAGTTCCGCGATTAGGTTCCTATAAGCAACTTATGCCAGAGGGTTCTTATTGTCCATTTACAAATAACTCTGAAAGTAGTTTCTTACAATCAACTTACAAGTAGCTTCTTTCAAGCAGTTTTTAGAGATGCAGCCAACAATGCGTGTTTCTCTTATATATCAAGGTGGAGTTTTGGAAAATATGATATCCACATGATTTTCCTTTGTGTCCAAGAATGTGGGTCCTACATATCTTTAGGCCCAAATATTTTGGCTTATAAATAGCCCCTTAGTGTAGTGGAAAAGAGATGAATAGGAAGTGAAATAAACTCTGTCCCTTCCCTCTCTTCTTGTTTAGATTATTCTTGCACTATTTTATATTTTATCGCATAGCCTTTATTATATAAAACACACAGGCGCGCGCGCACACACGTTACTAAATCCATCCCTATATCCGTGCATCTCAAATAGTCAATCGACGATATTGGAGAACTACTCATGCAATGTACATGTACAATGATCGATATTCACTCCATCAACTTATATATACCTAATTCAAATGAAAATCACTCTAACTAAATTGATCCAATCATACATAACTCAGTTTAGGAGAGTTAATACAGATTATCAAAACTAGCGCTTAAATACTTAGTAGCTTGTGTTAATTGGTACATACTTGCTTGAGAACATCCTCTTGCACTTTCAGATATAAAACATACTTAGAACTTTTTTCAGGACTGTTGTTTGTCTTCATAGTCTGTTCCAAAGTAATGACATTATTTGCTTAGTCTCTTCGGTTCATTGTAGACACCTCCATAGGTACTTTCAGACCATCAGCTAAGACAAGCAGTAGTCTATTTAAATGTTTGATGGAGAACCCACATGGGGTTTCCATTGCACTTTTCATTCCAAACATTCTCAACTACTTCATGAAACTTGGGGTCTGGCCAAGTATTCAGAAACTTGAAATATTTAGTGAACTTCTCATATAAGAAAACTGTAACAATAATGGGGCATATTACATATAGATAGGAAGTTCCTACCATAGACATTTCTATAGTCTTCTTATGAGTCAAAATCAAAAAAGACATGAAGTATTTTATACGCCCCTATTTTGACCAATCCTTTTGTGGAAACCGTATACAAGAAATCATTTTTAATTTTTTCAACTGATGACCAGATTCTAGTGAACTTACCAATGATGGTGAGATTACAACCTTCCACTAGGATGTCATTTTTTCCTTGTACCAAGTTATACCATATGTACATGAGTTTTACCTTCCTCTTACTTCCATTACAATTCACAACTCCTACAAGCAACAACAAAATTCAAAGAGGGATCCAGACAAGTACTCTGCTCTCCAGAAGGGGAATTGATCCTTAATGTGAGATTTCCTGACTCAAATATGAATTTTGTTGGACCCACAACAGATACTGAATACCAGCTGAGAACAAACAAAAATGTAACATTCTCGACCATGCACCAGTCAAACGTTATATGTATGATTATTTCATTGAAAAAAGAAAAAAGTGCTTCTATATTCAGTGCACTTACTGTTCATTGGCAAGTAGTTCAACAGTGGTATGGTCTATGATTCAGATTCTCCTTTCTTTTTTTCTTCTTTTTTTTGCCGTTTTTCTCACTTGAAAACTCTTTCGGATCAACTCCATACACACAAGTATTGAACTCAAGCATCAATATCACACTAGACAAGTAAATATATCGATCAATCAACTATACATACGTCAATCCCAAAAAGAAGTGAGGAGATATATCGACTATCTTTAAAGAAATGTACACAACAATGGTTCAGACTTCAACATTTTATAAATATTCACAGCACTAACAGGCTAAGCCTGTACAGAGTACACAGATTCTATTGTATAGAGCATAACTTAAAGATGAGGAAACTACAAGCGACTAGTAACTAATAATATATATAGCTTCTTTCAAATAAACAAAACTATTAGTTTGAATTAATATATTATATATAGAGTACAAGAAACTACTACGTATCCACTAACATTTGAACTTCTGGGAGTGCTCACCTTACTGTGCCTTCAACGCCTTTCTAGCTAGTCCTTAATCGTGTTGCTTCTTCTAGACAATCGCAAGTCCTTCAGAAGTATAGTATCTGGATCAGCCCCGTCCTCATATTCCTTGAGAGCCCTCTCACGCTGATCTTTTGGTTTCTTTATTGCCAATGTTGAAGTTGTACTATAATCTATTTTGCCCCCGTCCTCCTTGAACTTAGCAGCCCTCCACGACCCTATTTTTTTGGTCGATCCAAATGCACCTCATGTCAAGGATCCTCCTCCTTTTCCTTTGGATGTTGCTTCTTTTGTTTATTTGATTAACTCCCCCTTTTCTTATTGGATTCAACCTTTCGTTGTCTGCAGGAAGCAAAAATTGTCCTCCATCAATCATAAGGACTTCATCTTTTCACACATCTTATGCAGATGATGTTTCAGCAGGGTTGTATGACCCCTTGGCAAATTGTCATACTCTTTTGTTGATAAACTGGGATATTGCGTCTGCACTAGAATCCCCTTTTTCATCCAATCCTGCAACGCCTTTTCAATCATCTATGATTAAAAACAACAACGTTGAATTAGACTATAAACTCATAAGATTAGGGCACAAGGATCGTAAATTACATCATTAATCAACAAAGTTCAGAAGACCTAACCCCTCGAAATGAAAACTATAACCAAATAATTAATTTTTCACCAACAATCAACCCTAATTTTTTCAAACAAAAAAAACAAAAAAGATAAATGGGGTTGAGCAAAACTTAATACAGATCATTAATTCTAACAAAAAGATACAAAATTTAGATGAAAAGATGAATTACCCAAGTATAAGGAAGATGCATCCAATAGTATGAAGATTAGACAAAAATTAGTTAAGGTGTTGTTGAAGAGTCGAGTTTTGGATCTCAAATAATGGCACATTGGGTTCACTGTTAGAGATTTTAACAACTCCTCTCATTTCTCTAATTCTATCTCCTCAATCTTTTTCTCCAGCTGCTGAAACTTGGGGTTTTCACAAGTTTTTTGGTGTTTTGACAGATACATCACTGCTGGTATTCCCTATTTAGTGAAGTTTTTGGGCTGTTTTGTTGAGAAATTTAAATAGGGAATAGCAACAGTGATGTATCTATCAACACACCAAAAAACTTTTGAAAATCCTAAGTTTCAGCAGCAGAAGAACAAGACTAAGTAGACAGATGGAGAAATTGAGAGAAGAAATTGTGAAAATTTCAAACATTGAACACAATGTACCATTATCTGATAACCAAAATCTTCATAAACACCTTAACCGTTTTCTATTTGTCCTCCATAAATCATACTACGCATGGCAATCCTTCTTACATTTGAGTAATTAAGCTTTTTCATCTCAAATTTGTATCTTTTCATTACAATTAACTGATTTGTAGCAAGTTTTCTTTCACCCCATAGATATTTGTTTGTTTTTTTTTTTGAACTTTTGAAAAAATTAATGTTGATAATTAAAAAATAAAAGGAATTCTTGGGTTATAGTTTTCCTTTTGAAAAGGGGTTAACTCTTCGGAATTTTGTTGGTTAACGATGTAACTTAAGATCCTTGTGGTCAGGCCTTGTGAGTTTATAGTCTAATCCACTATTTTCTTGTGTTATAGATGATTGAAAAGGGGTTGCATCAATTGGATAAAGAAATGTATTCTATGAAGACTCAATATATGAGTTTATCAAGAAAGAGTATGATAGTTTGCCAAGGGCTCAGATGACCCTACTCTCATCTGTAGAAGATATCTGATTAGGGATAAGTCATTACGATTGATGGGGGACGATTTTACTTCCTAATGACAATGAGAACTTGACTTCAAAGAGTAAAAGGAAGTGTGAAAGAAGGGTAAATTCATCAATTAAGCAAAAAAAGCCACAACAAAAGGTGAAAGGAGGAGGGTCCTAGACATGAGGTGCATTTGGAGCAACCAATAAAACAGTGTCGTGGGCAGCTTGCTAAGTACAAAAGGATGGGGCCAAAATAAATGATAGTACAATTTAAACATGGACAACAAAGGAACCAAAAGATCAACTTCATAATAGAGCTCTCAAGGTCTAGGAGGACAGGGCTGCTCCCGAATGACTTGAGATTATCTAGAAGAAACAAAACGATCAAGGGCTAGGAAGACATAGAAAGGCACATAAAGTGAGAATTGTAGCTCAAATCTCTCTTAAGAGGACAAATGGTATAAATTGTGATTGAGTATAAAGTTTTACTTCACCCCAAATCATTTTTTTTTCTTCAAAATTCTGAAAAAATGAGGGTTGTTTGTAGTTTATCGTGTATGTTTAGCGGCAACAAATGAATTCTTGGGTTAGGATTTTTGTTTCAACTCCTTGAAAATGGGCCATTATTAATGACCTAGAATTACATTCATCTATGTTGCCTTACTCATATTCTCTCTTGTATTGATACTACTCGGGTCATCTTATACTTGGGTAACTCACTCTTTGTATAATTTTGTACCCTTCATTATGATTAATTGTTGCAAGTGATTTCTATAATGTTTTACTTCATCAATTATTAATTTTTACTAAGAAAATAGGATTGATTGTAGTTTATCTTATGGGTTTGTTGGAAAAAATGAATTCTTGATCTTAATTTTGAGTGTTTAGAAATGGGTCATATTTATGATTCAAAATTCCATTCTTTATTTCTTATATTTTCTTCATAACTACCTCATTTTCATCCTAATATTTGGGTAACTCATCTCTTCATATGATTCTTTTAATGTGTAATTATGATCAATTGTTGTAAGTGATTTGGATGAAATTTTACTTCATCCTTAATCTCTTTTTTTTTTGAAGAAATCCTACATCTTAGATATAACAATCCGTGTAACCCTACACTCCACAAGTTGAGTTTGGAAAGGAATGAATATACATAGCCTTTATCTATCTCAAAAGATATGCATATGGGACATGAAAGTAAGAAAGAAAAAGAGAAAACAAAATAAAAATGTGTGAATAAGTGTAGAAACAAATATTAATGCATCGTGGAGAAAGAGAAACTATTCAATTCTTAAATCGTGAAGTAGGACAGCATTCAACTATCTATTAGTTTTCTATCCTAATCCTCGACCATCATACCTTCTTACAAAAGGTCATGTCCTTAGTCGGATGAAGTTGTATCATGTTGTATAAAATCAAATCCCCCTAATTCTTTTTGGACCTGCATATACCTTGCCTAACTCATTACGTACGACCAACCTCTCGTACATCCTCACTATTACATCCTCACACTTCCTATTCACATGTCTAAACCATATCAATCTCGCTTCTCTCATTGTGTCTAACATGGAGGTTACTCACACCTTGTGAAGTATCACATCATTCTTAATAATCTCTCTCATAGAATGCCAACATATTCATTTGAATATTTTCATCTTCACTGCCTCATACAATAGTGTTGGCTTAACCGCCACAGTATATAACCTATGATTAAGCCTTAGAGACATATTTTTATAGCATAGTATGCTAGAGGTTAACTCTCATTCTATCTACCCCACTCCAGTACGTTAATCAACACGTCTCCTTAAATTATTTTCCAAAGATATTTAAAGTCTTGAGTATGACTAGTCCTTAATCTTCTTTTTCACCTCCAACTTACGGGTTATCAGTGAACTTGCACTCGCACTCCAAGTACAATGAATTCAATAAAATTTAATTAAGAATACCTACTAAAACATTAAATGACAATTCAAGAATACTAAAGTAATTAGGCAAAAGTGAAAACATATCGAAATAAAATATCAAAACAAGAATGATAGAACCTGGATGTAATCGAGGGTCGTTCAAATGATGAAAAATGATCCGATGGTGTCAAAACCATTGAAGCTTATCAAGCTGCGGATTGGAAACTGGGTTACCTCAAAACTTATCGTCAAAAAGGGTTTGATTTTACCATACATGTTTCTTTGCATACACAAACCACACACATACACAAAGTGAGAGAGGAGGAAATAGATAGACAAAGAAGTAAAGGAGCAATTTACGATGCTTGAATCCAACCAAGAAGTAGAAGAAAAGAAGGGTAAGAGAGAAAGGAGAAATAGAGGGGGCGGAGAGTGGAAGGAGGAAGGGAGAGAAACAAGAGAAGAATAAGCCCTTATTAAGAGAAATTCCCTTTATTGTCGTATATTCTAATTTCAATTCTCTTATTTCGACTGTGTATGTAAAAGTATTCATTATTAAAGATACTAATAAATAATGAACATTTAAATTACAATATATGTTTTGGGTAAATGGGTATAGACCATATTATATTGTGGTATTAATTGCAATTCCTTAAATGTTTTTAGAGTTATGAAGAAAAGTTTGTCACAATTCAAAAAATGGACATGATGACACTCATCTAAACCATCAAAAGAAGTCAACCTAAAATCCAACAATATGAAAGAAATGCGGAAAATAAATTAACAATAGCATAAGTGCGGAAAACTTAACCAAAATGATGAACTCCCCCAAACTTTGGTTGTCACGTGTACAATCCTCAAAAAAAAGAGAGAAGGAATTGAAGATAAATACAAGTCTCAATGTTTCTCAAGTAGAACAAAACCTAAAATAAGGAGCAAGAGAGACTGTCAGGATGACAAGCAACTACCTCTCAAAATCTTCTAAAAGCCTCGGCTTAATACCTACACAAATGTAGAAGCAAGTACTGAGTACCAAACAACATGATACCACTAAACAAGGTAAAACTAAACTAGAATAGAGTACTCCTTCCATTCCAACGATACTGCCTCAACTACAACCTGTAGAGAAATCAACACGACCTAATAGTTTACAATACACAACTCAGAAAGATTAACAATCACAGTCCAACCATCGTAGTTCAACGATCAACAAGTATCAAATTAATAAATCATGAGTATCAAGTATGTCAATCACAAGCATCAAGTATCTCAAAACTCCATAAGACACCGAAAACCACTTCTTTTATCAACTTGAGCCTTTTAAACTTTCAAAAAGATTCCCTAATTATTAATTTTTCACTCAAAAGTCAAAACCAAATTCAAAATCCAATCAGATTTCACTCGGGGTCAAAATCGAAAGGGATACAATGATAATTTTATGAGAATTTCAAAAATGACTTTATGGGTCATTACATTATCCACCACTAAAAATCACGTTTGTTTCAAATATAAAATAAAAGAAGTATCTAAATTCTCAAAAATTTGGGGATATCTGGAACACATGGCATACTCTATCTCCCTAGCCGCCTCACCAACTAAATGGAGCTTCCACTATACTTTCAACGAAGCAATTTCCTGGGGCCTAAGCTTTCAAACCTGCCTATCCAAGATGGTAATAGGCTCCTCCTTAAAAGAAAAGTATGAACCCAACATTACCAAATCAAACGAAAGCACATCATACTCTTCTGACACGTACTTTTAAAGCATTGAGACATGAAACACAAGATGCACAATTGACAAGCTATATGGTAAGGCCAACATAGAGGCTACCTCTCCCACTCGACTTAAAATCTCAAAAAGGCCAACAAATTAAGGCTAAGTTTTCCCTTCTTCCTGGATCTCACCATATCCTTTATGGGTGACACACGAAGCCAAACATAATCACCTTCCATGAGTACTAAGACCCAAATTCTATGGTTTGCATAACTCTTTAGTCAACTCTAGGTTGTCAATAGTCTATCAAAAATCATACAAACCAGCTCCATAGAATCTCAAAAGAAGTCGGTATCTAAAGAGTTCATTTCAATTGAACCAAACCAAACAATCAATGATCTACACCATTTGACATGAAATGCCTCAAATGGGCCCATATGAATACAAGAGTGATAATTATTGTTGTAGATAAACTCTACTAAGGGCAAATGTTGATCCCATCTAGCACCAAAATTAATCATAAAAGCTTAGAGAATATCCTTTAACACCTGAATTGTCAACTATGACTAACCATTTATCTAAGAGTTAAAAGTTGTACTCATATATAACTGAGTACACAGACCATGTTGTAACTCCCTCAAAAAGTGAGAAGTGGACAGTGTTCTTCGATTAGAGACAATAGAAATAGGAACACTAGGAAGTCACAATATATGACTATAAAATTCTCAATCATATACTCCCCTCCCCCAATGAGAGATAAAATAGGCGGTCTTGGTCCGTCTATCAACGACCCTACAAATAGAGTCGTGACCACCCATGGTGGTAGGCAAACCAACAACAAAGTCCATGGTAATGTGTTCCCTCTTTCGAGTAGGAATATATATCCTTTGAGATACACCTCTAGGATGTTGGTGCTCATACTTCACATGCGTGAAAGTCAAGCATCTAAACACAAAATATGCAATAGCCTTTTTCATTTCACACTACTAGTAATGTTGACTTAGATCATGATACACTTGTTCCACTTTCGGATGGATAGAATATCAAGAGCAGTGAACCTTCTCTAGAATCAATCTGATCAACTTGCTGACCATGGGCATACAAATTCTGTCTCCGATCCTCAAGACACTGTCAGAATCAAAGAAACCTCTTTAGCTTCCCCTCTCAACACCTTGTCTCAAATGAGATACAACTTATCATCATCGAACTAGCGCTCACGGATCTACTCAACTGAGGAAGACCGAGCCTTTTTAACAGAAAGTAAACCACCACTTGCCTCAGAAATTTACATTTAAAAAAATTGTTGGATAACATTTAAACATCTCTAGCTAACAGTCTCTTGTAAACACTGATCGCGACAAGCCTCCCCATAGTTGAAGTCTTCCTACTCTAATTATCAACAACCATATTGTTCTTCCCCAGGTGATACAAGATGGTGATATCATAGTCCTTCAGTAACTCAAGGAATTCATACTTTCTTAAGTTCATCCTAATTGAACCTCCATAACTACAACCTGCATAAAAATTAGTTCAACCTAACAACTTACAATACATAACTCACAAGGATAGCTTAACAATCATCATATGATAGTCATAGTTCAACAATCAACAAGTATTAAGTTAATCAATAATGAGTATCAGGTATGTCAATCACTAAACATCAAGTATCTATTATATCAATCATAAGCATCAAGTTCATCAAATCACAACTGTCAAGCACTCACCAAAACAATTTTCATTGGCACAATACCACTCGCTGAAACCATTTTGTATCAACTATGTCATGACTTTAGTAGATCCAATACAAACCAAAGTTCCACCTTTATTTGATAAAGTGAAGTAGAATATGTCTTGACTTTGCTAGATCTAAAACAAACCCAAATTCCACATTTATTTGATATGAAAGAGGGTGGAAAGAGCATATAATCATAATCCACAAAAGGATCTTTAGGATATTCAATAATTAACATCTTTATCCAAGATTCTTTAATCCCATACACCTTGACAACCCAAACATCTACATGAGTCACCATATTATCACAGAAG